ATGATTTTGTGTGGGAGTGTCTGAGTGTATTGTACGTGTTATTGGTTGCTCTGTAAAACCCTGTGGGCAGTACTTAGTTTGTGGATTGGGAATAAAAGAGGCTGTATGTGCCAGTACAGCCAGTTCCTGCTTAACCCTCAAAGTGAAGTGTCGTCTCATTATTGGGGGAGGATTTATTGTATGCTGTTCCAGTTTGACTGCTAGGAGTGTAAACCTATTCGCATGGTTTTTCCTATTTGGCTGTATACAACATTCACATGCTTGAGAGCATTCATATGCTTCTCCGGTTCGGTGGTTGTGGTGTCTGCTGCAGTGCTTGGAGTCCTCAGGAAGCGCTAGGAGCATCCTTCAACGGAGGTACCCAGTCGGGGTGCCAGATGATCCGTTACATTGGTGGCAAGCGGTGGATGGCGTCCTAGTGCGAGGTAAAGCAGCTCAGAGACACCGTTCGTGGATTTACAAATTGAGGGCGACGCTAGTGTTCATACAGTGTCCGTGTCTACATAAAGATTTGGGAAAATGGGGTTCGTGGACCCCTGGGAACACACCCATGAGGAAGAGAGTGAATTAGACTGGAGAGATATTGCCCGGAAAGAATTATGGTACGATGCCCTGGAGGAAGTCCAGCATCAACGGCAGCAGCGCCTTCCTGGTGTCGCATACCAGTTGGAGGAACAAATGGCCTGGCGGATGCCGCTTCTGGGAGACCAACCCGGAGGGCATCAGGTCAGAAAACTTGAGTACCTCGTGGAAAGGGAACTGAGCCTTGACGCCTCATACCGGGCACTGTGGTGGTGCACTGTCCAGCCAGAGACATGGAGGGCAGAGGGCATCCAGCCAGAGGGGGAGAACTACATTAGCCCTGGCCTGTTGTGGAAGGCCTTAGCAGAAGACGTCGACTTTGGCAGTCCAGCAGAGTCACGGTACTGGGCTATCTTTCATTACCGGGGTGAGATGGTACAGGGCCCGAGATCTATTGGACTGGGACAAGACCTCCGCCGTTTCGCTGCCATGGAACGAGAGCTAGAGATGGACTATGTGGAACTACTGAACTCATGTCAGCCGCAGAGCATGGACGCAGAACAGGAAAACTGGGTGGCGGACCCAGACCTGCCAACCTACAGCTGGGAAAACGCAGCCGAGGTACCCCCTGCTTCACTACCAGTTGCAGAAGTAGGGGACCTCATGGACTGGTTCTGTAGAGACCCACAGATGGCAGGTGGAGATGGGACGGCTGTCTCTCTACCGGCTCTACAGGGATGCTGGGCAGTTGGCCCAGACCCCCAGCGGCAGTGTGAAGTGCAGGGAGTGGAGAGCATTGTCTCCCCTCCCCAGGGGTAGTTTACCTTGCAGGGAGAGGAGAGTAGCGTCCTTCCTCCCCAGCGGCAGGGTGAGCTACAGGGATGCTGGGCGGTCAGCCCAGATCCCCAGCGGCAGATTGATTTTCAGGAAATATAGAGCCGTGTCTCCTTTCCCCAGCGGCAGTGTGAAGTGCAGGGAGTGGAGAGCAGCGTCCTCCCTCCCCAGCGGCAGGGTGAGCTACAGGGATGCTGGGCGGTCGGCTCAGATATCCAGCGGCACTGTGACTTTCAGGGAATAGAGAGCAGTGTCTCCTTTCCCCAGCAGCAGTGTGAAATACAGGGAGTGGAGAGCAGTGTCTCCCCTCCCCAGCGGCTGAAAGTGTGTAAGGGAGAGAAGCTTGTTACCCCCTCTCCCCAGCGGCAGCTTAGCCCACCAAGGGGAGACACTAAGTTCCCCACCAGCGCAGATGGGACCATGGTCTCTGCGCCCAAGCTACAGGGAGTACGGACAGTCGGTCCTGCTCCCCAGCGGCAGAGTATTCTACCAGGAGGGGAGAGTCTCGTTCCCCCTCCCCAGCAGCAGCCTAGCCCACCAAGGGGAGATGATAAGCCCCACACCGGTGCAGATGGGACCATGGTCTCTGTGCCCAAACCACAGGGTGTAGGGACAGTCGGTCCTGTCCCCCTGCAGCAGCGCTGTTTATCCAAAGGGGAGACAGCCTGTCTTCCCCTCCAGCAGCAGACCCAGGTCTGGAGTGAGGAGCCTACTACGCCGTTCCCTCACCTGGGCTCCAACCAGGCTACTCCCGTGGTAGCGCTGGCACCAGGGCAGAGTACCGCTGGTCTCTGCCCACCCCGCAACCCATCGATCCAGAGTGCTAGTACCCCCCAGACCCAAGATGGAGCTCCCGGACCTGGACATGCGACCCACTACTCCAGGTGTAGTAACCAATTTTCGTGGGTGGGTTATACTGCGGATTCTGTTTTGTGGGTGGGTTGCTGGACTAACCAAGGCACTGACCGACAGGAGGTCAGATACCTTGTTAGTCTTTTTGGGAAAGGGGAGAAACCGACCTCGCCACTGGGCATTTGAGAAGACTGATTGCCAGCCTCCTGCCATGTGACTATGGCCCCTGGGATGTATTGCCCTTTAAAGATATGATTTGGGCATAATGGATTTGTGTTGTGCTGCTGCTGGCCCTTGAAGAACCATCTGGGGACATACTGTGGAGTTACTGGGTGGCCACCATTTCCTGTATCAGAAGCACATGGTGAGAACAATGGAGGGCGGCCATTTTAACTCACAGACACTGTTTGGACTTTTCAACACGGTGCCATCTCGCCAGTATTTGGTGCACAGAGACATCGTGCAGTGGTTTTGGACTATACAACAGGGGACACCCTATACAGTAATTGTTTTTCATATAACCTGCATATGTTCTGTAAAATCTGCATTAAACTGTATCTTCCAAAGTACTGAACGGATCTGGGTGAATTTTGGATATGTGGTTCACCCAGATCCCTCGGTTCTAAGAATATACTTTTTATGGGGTTATTGCATGTTTTGTGGTCCCTGTGATGTGTTTTATGAAACTGTATTTCTCTGTCTGTGATAATTAGATTACACAGGCAGCGGGGATGATTTTGTGTGGGAGTGTCTGAGTGTATTGTACGTGTTATTGGTTGTTCTGTATAACCCTGTGGGCAGTACTTAGTTTGTGGATTGGGAATAAAAGAGGCTGTATGTGCCAGTACAGTCAGTTCCTGCTTGACCCTCAAAGTGAAGTGTCGTCTCATTATTGGGGGAGGATTTATTGTATGCTGTTCCAGTTTGACTGCTAGGAGTGTAAACCTATTCGCATGGTTTTTCCTATTCGGCTGTATACAACATTCACATGCTTGAGAGCATTCATATGCTTCTCTGGTTCGGTGGTTGTGGTGTCTGCTGCAGTGCTTGGAGTCCTCAGGAAGCGCTAGGAGCATCCTTCAACAGAGGTACCCAGTCGGGGTGCCAGGTGATCCGTTACATTTATATATTTTTTTACTTTTTAGCAGCCTAGGGGACTGTCTGACAGCTCAGACAGTCCCCCTGCTGGCAGCTCCTAGACTCCTATTGCGGCGATGTGATAATGGTGATCACATGGCCCTGGATGGTCAGGGTGGCCGGAGCTGCTACAAGGGGACTGCTGGGGTCTCCGGCAGTCCCCCCCTGACCGTGATCGCCGGTCCAGGTAGGGGCTCCTATTTGCCACTGTCATACTAGGTACGTCCGCGGTCCTTGACGACCGTTTTTTATGTCGAACGTACATAGTACGTCCACGGTCGTTAAGGGTATATACATTGATAGAATATATATATATATATATATATACACACACACACACACACACACACACACACCACAAAAGATGATGGCTGCACTCCTCGGACTTCTTAAAATTCAAAATACTTTTTTGTAAAACCATTAAAATGATCAACGTTTCAGCCCCTATCTGGGCTTTCCTCAGGATCAAAAAAACAACACTACCGCAATACCAATACTAACAATTACTTATATATCATAAAAGATGATTGAAAGACTTACCACAGCTGATGCCTGCGCCCGCCCGGCGTCCCAATGAACACTGTGCGCATGCGTGTACCTATGTAATCAAAGGGGATAATTGTAATCCAGGAAATGTTGCCTTGCTTACCAGGCAATGCTTAAACTGAGCGACAAGCTGCGGGTGAAAGACCCGCCCACTGAAACCACATCCGCCTACCAGCAGCTTGCCGCTCAGTTTAAGCATTGCATGCACACAGTGTTCATTGGGACGCCGGGCGGGCACGGGCATCAGCTGTGGTAAGTCTTTCAATCTCCTTTTATGATATATAAGTAATTGTTAGTATTGGTATTGCGGTAGTGTTGTTTTTTTGATCCTGAGGAAAGCCCAGATAGGGGCTGAAACGTTGATAATTTTATTGGATTTACAATAAAGTATTTTGAATTTTAAGAAGTCCGAGGAGTGCAGCCATCATCTTTGTGGTTTCTATGGCATGCTTGTCCGCTGGCTCATGCACCAGGCAATACTTAACCCCTTCAGACCGGAGGGCGTACTATTACGCCCTCTAATAGGCGGCTCTAAATGCCGCCTGGCGTAATAGTACGCCCTCCGGTCTTTCGGTACTTACCCGGTCGCCGCCGGTCCCACGCCAGCGATCACGGTGGGGGGGACTCCCAGGGAGCCCCCCGCGGCACGTCCGTCCTCCAGGAAGTCCCCCGGCCGTGTGAGAGTGGGGTCCTAGCGAGGACCCCACAATCACATGGCCGGGGATAGCTGGCTTCTGCATTGCCAGCAGGGGGGCTGCCTGTAATTACAGGTGGTCCCCCTGCTGGCTGAAAATAAAATTAAAACAAATAAATGGTGTAAAAAAAAATTATATATACTTAGATCATATATATATATATATGATCTAAGTATATATATATAGACATATACATACACACATGTACACCGTCTAGGTGTATTTTACTATTAATATATATATAATTATATATATATATATATATATATATATATATATCAAATTACACGTAGACTGATACTGATTAAATATATATATATAATTATTGTTATATATATATTTATATATATTATAAAAAAAATTAAAATGTAAATACGTTAAAAAATAAAATTAAAAAAATAATTAAAAATAAATAATTAAAAAATATATAGATGTATGTTATTTCGTTCTAACTGTATTGTGAAATTAATATATATATATATATATCAAAATACACGTAGAACAAAATAATATATATATCTATATACATAAATATATACGTATATATCACTATATATATACCTATATATAAATAAAAATATTTTTTTTAAATTATATAGATATATACATATATATACACATACGTATATATATACATATATTAATTCTACATATATATTTATGTATTATTTTTACATAATTAGGTATCTTAATAATTAAAATTAGCAGGACCTGCCTGACAACCCATGCCGAAAGTAAAGGGAATTTAATTTGCTAGCAGTATATTTAACCCTATAACTTTCCGAGACACCATAAAAACCTGTACATGGGGGGTACTGTTCTACTCGGGAGACTTCGCTGAACACAAATATTAGTGTTTCAAAACAGTAAAATGTATTACAATGATGATATCGCCAGTAAAAGTGACGTTTTTTGCATTTTTCACGCACAAACAGCATTACACGGACAATATTATTGCTATGATACTTTTTACTGTTTTGAAACACAAATATTTGTGTTCAGCGAAGTCTCCCGAGTACAACAGTACCCCTCATGTACAGGTTTTATGGTGTTTTCAAAACTTACAGCGTCAAATATAAGGCTTGCGTTTCATTTTTTTCACATTAAAATTCGCCAGATTGGTTACATTGCCTTTGAGACCCTATGGTAGCCCAAGAATGAAAATGACCCCTATGATGGCATACCATTTGCAATAGTAGACAACCCAAGGTATTGCAAACAGGGTATGTCCAGTCTTTTTTAGTAGCCACTTAGTCACAAACACTGGCCAAAATTGGCGTTTTTTGCATTTTTCACACACAAACAAATACTAACGCTAACTTTGGCCAGTGTTTGTGACCAAATGGCTACTAAAAAAGACTGGACATACCCCATTTGCAATACCTTGGGTTGTCTACTATTGCAAATGGTATGCCATTATGGGTGTAAATTTCATTCCTGGGCTACTATAAAGTCCAAAGGCAACGTAACCAATCTGGCGAATTTCAATTTCAAATGTAACGTGCTATATTTGACCCTGTAACTTCCCAAAACGCCATAAAACCTGTACAAAGGGGGTACTGTCTTACACGTGAGACTTTACTGAATACAAATATGTGTATTTTATTGCACTAAAAGCAAACAGTATAATGACACTGACCGTTAAAATGTCATGTAGAACTAAAAAAATAAAAAAAAATCGTATTTTCTCCCATTTTTTTCATATTAAATTATGTTTCATAGCTAAATATTTGATATCAAATGAAAGCCCTGTTTCCCCTGAATAAAATGATATATAATAAGGGTGGGTGCATTTACTATGAAAGAGGTGTATTAGGTTGGACAGACATGTAGCGCAAATGCCAGGTTTTGTTTACATTTTGTTTTGTTAACAAAGTGTACATTTGGCTCCGTCCTTAAGAGGTTAAGGAATACGTGAGTGCAAGGATTAATTTGTCTTTTATATTATATATATATATATATATATATATATATATATATATAATATATATATAAATAATAATAATAATAATAATAATATCATTATGAGTGCATTTTGATATAAATATATTAATATCAAAATGCAGTTAGAATAAAATTACATATATATATTTTAAAATAATTTTTACAGTTTATATTTATTATTTCTTTTTTATAATATATATAAACATAATATATATAGTTATTATATATGTTATATATATATATATATATATGTGTAATTTTAATCTAAGTGTATTTTTATATCAATATATGTAAAAAATACATGTAGTGAGACGTTATATAAAATATATATATATATATATATATATATATATATATATATATATATATATTTATTAATTATACACACACATGGTGCCATATATATTTCCTGGCTAGTCATGGCAGCATATACACATAGGTTAGCTCCGCCCCTTACAGCTGATAGCACAGGAAAACCACCAAGGTTTTAAAAGGAGGCTCCATCCCTAAGGTCCTCAGTCTTTTTCCTGTCCTACAGCCCTTAGGACGTGAGCAATTTGCTCCCTTTACTTATGGACATGTATGTTGTTTTATCTTCATTACTTTATTTGCTGTTTTACTGTAGTACATTATGCAGTTATGCTTTTATGCTGTGATGCATTTAAGCTTTGATATCTTTAAACTAGTGCATTATACAGCTGTACCTTATTTTTAAGATTGTGGTACATTATGCGGTTGTGCTTTTACTAGGAAGCATTTTAGCTGTGTGGCATTTAAAACTGTTTCATTTAAATTTGCATTTAATATTGTTGCATGTAATACCGCAAGTCATTGGAAACCGCAGTACATTTGGAAAACTGCAGTCCATTGGCAGACTGCAGTGCGTTTGAAGACTGATATATTTTAAAAACTGTGATACATTTTGGAAACTTACCTTTTATACCTGGAGACCTTTAGACTATGGTGCCTTTAAACTTTGATTTTTTGCACCTGGTTGCCTTTTAACCCCTTAACGACCGAGGACGGTTCAGGACCGTCATCGGCATTTTTGCGTTGCCGACCGATGACGGTCCTGAACCGTCCTAACGGTCTGAGTTACTTACCTGATCGCCGTCGTTCCCCCGGCGGCGATCAGCGTGGCTTCCGGTGTGGGGAGACTGCCTGCAGCCCAGACAGTCTCCCCACACTGAATTAGGACCCCTGTGGCCATGTGATCGCTTAACACAGCGATCACATGGTCACAATAGGAGTCCTAGTGTCTGCCTGCAGGGGGACTGTCTGTGCGGACAGGCAGTCTCCCTGTTAGTGTAAAATAAAAAATAAAAATAAAGTTAGTGTTAATAAAAAATAAAAAATAAATTATATATGTGTATATATGATATATAGACATATTATTATATAGATATAATATATGTCTATATATCATATATATATATATAATGCCATACTAAGTGTATTTTTATATTAATATGTACTTATATTAATATAAAAATACACTTATAATTAAATTACACACGTATATATATATATAATATATATAATAACTATATATATTGTATATATATATATATATTATTATAAAATATAAATAATAAGTAATTTAAATTAAATAAAAATGTTTTTAAATAATAAAAATTTTAAAAAAATTATATCTATATGAAATTTTATTCTAACTGTATTTTAAACTTAATATATATTAATATATATATATTTATATCAAAATACACTTAGAATGAATTTGTATATATATATCTATGTATATATAAATAAATAAAAATAATACAAAATATACATATGTCCATATACAAAATTACATAAATAATTATATAAATATACACGTAGACTTCAAATATATAAATATGCATATATATTAAAATTCTATGTGCGTATTTATGTAATATTTTTACATAATTCAGTAATTTTATTGATTGCAATTTGAGGGACCTGCCTGCCAAACCAGGCCAAAATTCCAGAGAATTTAATTTGCTAGCACTGTATTTTACCCTGTAACATTCTACGACACCCTAAAACCTGTACATGGGGGGGTACTGTTTTACTCGGGAGACTTCGCTGAACACAAATATTAGTGATTCAAAACAGTAAAACATATCACAGCGATGATATTGTCAGTGAAAGTGACTTTTTTTGCATTTTTCACACACAAACAGCACTTTTACTGATGATATAATTGTTGTGATACGTTTTCCAGTTTTTAAACACTAATATTTGTGTTCAGCCATGCCTCCCGAGTAAAACAGTACCCCCCATGTACAGGTTTTATAGCATTTTTGAAAGTTACAAGGTCAAATATATGGGTCAAATATTTTTACATTGAAAATGGCCAGGTTGGTTACGTTGCCTTTGAGAGCGTATGGTAGCCCAGGAATGAGAATTACCCCCATGATGGCATACCATTTGCAAAAGAAGACAACCCAAGGTATTGCAAATGGGGTATGTCCAGTCTTTTTTAGTAACCACTTGGTCACAAACACTGGCCAAAATTAGCGCTCAATTTAGTTTTTTTACTTTTTTCACACACAAACAAATATGAATGCTTACTTTGGCCAGTGTTTTCGACTAAGTGGCTACTAAAAAAGACTGGACATACCCCATATTGAATACCCTGGGTTGTCTACTTTAAAAAAAATATGTACATGTTGGGTGTTATTCAGAGATTTATGACCGATAATAGTGTTACAATGTCACTATTGATAAATTTTAAAAATGTATGTTTTGAAACCGCAATATCCTACTTGTACCTATAGCCCTATAACATGCAAAAAAAAAGCAAAAAAGCACATAAACACTGGGTATTTTTAAACTCAGGACAAACTTTTTAATCTATCTGGCAGTTTTTTTCATTCGCTTTTGTAGATGAGTAAAAGATTTTTCAAGTAAAAGTAAAAAAACATGTATTTTTTTCAATTTTTCATCATTTTTTTTATTTTTTTTAAATTAAAATACATGAGATTATATAAATAATGGTATGTAAAGAAAGCACCTCTTGTCCTGAAAAAAACAATATATAATTTGTATGGGAACAGTAAATGAGAGAACGGAAAATTACAGCCAAACACAACCACCACAAAAGTGTAAAAATATGCCTGGTCGCAAATGTACAACATCGCAAAAACAGTCCAGTCCTTCAGGGGTTAAACTTCCTTGAAAGCACTTTTGTTATCTATTTTGCATCCCCTCTGTACCAGTGATTTATTCCCGGTTCCCTGGGTGTTTAGGGGCCATGTAGGCTTCAGACAGAGTCCTCTCCCTGGTCTCTAACCGCAAACATACGCAGAATAGGCCCACATGTGTGCAGTTTGTGCCTTGATGGGCCTAATACAGATGACTTGCATTGTGGGAAAACAAGTTGTGGCAGCCATCTTGGATAAGGGCAATTGCCAGAAAGTTCATAAAATAAAGGGAAAATTACAGTCAACATACCGCACTTATTTGGTAAGTATTTGCAGGGTCTCCAAACATGGATAAGTGCCTGCCTTCAGCCTGTTTTAAAGCTATTTCACTGGTTTCTTATAGAATTTAACAGTGCACTTTTTTACCTAATACTTTACCACAGGTAATATTTAGTTATTATTATTTGTCAGATGTCTGATTCTTCACCAGGATCTGGTTATGAGGAGAAAACAGTGGAAGGAATTGGTTATGCACTGACTGCCTCCAGAAGGTTGTCACTTCAGCATGACCTATCACTGTGCAGCCACATGACATGCGGGCAGGGCTTACAAAGTCAGTTCCAGAGGCCTTAGGGGTAAGAAAAGAGTCCAGGCTTTACCCTGTGGAGGAAGTTATTTCCAACCCCAAAACTACACCACTTAAGTTGCAAACTTATGGAACATAGGTGGACGCAGACCTGTCCAAAATTTTACACCTACCATTGCAGGAGGCCATCCAGCTGTGACATCCGCTGCTGATTCTACAAACATGAAATATGTGATTTAAGATCTAAAGGCTACTATGGAGTGAGATATTAAAAGCCAAGATTGAAAAGGCAGTCTGAAGTCTTCAGATTACAACTGACTTCTTCACAGAAAACTTCCCTAGATGTAACTAGGATATTCTCTGGATCAAATGTCTTTATAGCAGCTAAGAAAGCATTATGGTTCTGTTTCTGGGATGATGACTCATCCTCAAAGTCTGCCCTCTACACCATTCTATTTGAAGGGGTGGTGCTGTTTGGGAATCCTTTGGATAATTCCATTGAAAAGGCGAATGAGGGCTGCAAGATATTTGTACCTCAGGACGGAAGTTCTCATAGTCTGACCGGAGAACCTCCAGTGACCAGTGTTTCTGAGATACATGGAGCTACTGACCCTGCAGGGTATACTCCAGAGGTAACTCATGGCAGTTGGTAAACCTGCCTTTCAAGGTTCTAATGGAGCTATTAAGCAGTCATTTTGTTCTTCAGCAATGATCATGTCTCCTCCAGTACTAGGAGCCTAATTTTTCTGATCGCATTTACCTGGGCTCATCATTCTCTGGAGGCTTGAGTGGTATCCATAGTCCAGATTGATATAGACTGGAGTTTTTTCTTCAGGCACAGGAGTCTCCATACCAACAGCAGTATTAAGACCAATGAATCAAAAGGTAAAGCACTGAAGGAAGAAGCCTTCTGGCCAAAAAGGTGATTTTTTTTTTTTTTTTTTTAGGTCCCCGAACAAGAGCAATTCCAGGGACAAGTTTTGCCTCTCTTCTGGTGCTAAGAGGAAAAGCACATGGAAGCCTACACTGGACCTAAGAGGGGCCAACAAGAGGCTGAATGTCAGAGTCTTTGGGATGGAGTCAATCAGATCCATATCTCAAGCAATCTGGGAGGATAATTTCCTTACCTCTATATATCTCAAGGGTGCTTACTTTCAGTCCAATCTGCAGAGATCTTCGGCATTAGCTCAGAAGAGAACTTCCAAGTTAGTGCCCTACCATTTGGCCTCAATGCGGCCCCAAGAATCTTTTTATGTGCTTATAATGTTATTGAGAGTCCAGAACTCCACCTGGTTCCATTATCTGGAGGCTCTACTTCTGATAGCCTTAGACCCTCAGAAGGCAGGCACACAGAGGTATATAGTTCTTTCATAACTCCTAAAGTTTGACTGCTTGATGAATATCAAGAAAGCAGTTTCACACCAGCTCAGTGGTTGACATTCCCGAGTGGAAAATTCTATGCTCTGCTTTTCCCTATCTCAGGAACAGTTCCACAGATTGTGAAGGTTTTTTTCTCCCAGTTTCTTAATTTCTGCTTGGTAACAGCAAGAAAATAGATGCAGCTACTAGGAATCCTGGGTTCCACCAGCAGACTTGTCAGATGGGCCAATGGCATCTCTGGATTCCTCACAGATCCTTCCTATCTTGGTTTAACAAGAGAAAGATTATTGGAGCCAGCCACTAACTATGTCCCCATCAGTGGAGTTACACCTTACCTGGTAGCTGAAAAGAGGGATTAGATCTCAGTTTCCAGTAAACAGAACCTCTTTGGTCAATTATTAGCTCGAATTCCAGTTTTTATAAGATTGGTTGTACAGTGTTTGGACCATGTTGCACGATATTTCCATTCATTTGTATGGAATTACGAGACATTTTAAAGGCTCTTCTTCACTTCAGAGGCTTGCTGAAGAACGGGTGGGTCCAAATTTGCTCAAATATCAATGCAACTGTATCCTTTATCTATCAAGATGGGTCTCACAGATACGTATTGATGGAATTTCAGTCCATAGAATACAATGGCCGTGTGCTTGAGCCGAATAACTGTGGACAAGGTAGATTGGCAACCATGTAACGACGTATCCTCGGGGTTTACGCAGATTTGTCTGATACCCTACATAGATCTGATGGCCATTTCTTGGAACTACCAGGTCCAGAAGTATTTTCTACATGCTAGGACCAGAATGCTCAGGTTCAGTATACACTGACTCAAAAAAAGATAATGCAAAAGGTGACAGTGGAAGACCCCGTCGACTCTAATTCCTATGATGAATAAGAAGATTCTGAAACCTCCAAGGGAAATTCCAGTACATCCAGACCTATTACAATGCCCCTTGACACACCAGGATCCTCAAGTTCTGGTGTTGATGCAGGAGTCCATATTAGTATAGGCATCCCTGAGACGGTCATTGAGATCCTCTTATAATCCTATACAGGCTTTACAAAGCTTGACATGCTTTTGTCTGTTGGAATTACTACTCGTTCAGGCCTTGAAAGGTTCTGTATTATTACACTCTAGAGGAGCACTTAGCTGCACTTTGCTTCATATAGGCATTGATTGAAATCATGCCTCCACTGAGTGTGGTGAAGCCAATATGTGGCGTACCACTGGTCTCACGGGCCCTGACTAAACCATTATTCGAACCTCTAGAAGGAGCTTCCATGGTGGTAGCAGAGAAAGTGCTGGTGGCTGGTACCCCAGCAAGGAAAATGGGTGAACTCCAGGCTTGATCCTGTGAACCCCCTTTCACTACTTTTCAACAGATATGGTCGACTTGCATTTGGCACCTGAAGATCCTGCCAATGATGAATACTTATCTATGTCATTCTCTACCTGTACTGAAGGGTACCCATTGAGCGTTGATGCATCTGGTGCTTTGCTTCATGTAAGCAACAATTGAACTCAAGCCTCCGCTGAGGGTGTTGAAACCAATATGTGACGTACCACTGGTCTCATGGGCTCTGACTAAATCATCATTTGAACCTCTAGCAGGAGCTTTTATGATGTTAGCACAGACGTTGCTGTTGCTGGTGGCTGGTACCTCAGCAGGGTGAATGTGTGAACTCCAGGATTGATCCTGTGTACCCCCATTCACTGAATTTCAACAGGATATGGTTGTCTTGCATGTAGCACCAGAGATCCTGCCTAAAGTAAGAGCCTTTCAATGCCATTGTCTACCTGTACCAAAGGATTTTGGGGCATTCTCCACTAGTGCTGTTATGTCTCGTGGGCTTCCATGGCAATGGTCTCTGCTGAAACTTTGTAACGTTGGCATTTGGACCTCTTTGAACTAGTTTGTCCTGCATTACATATTGGACATTGCAGCATTTAATGAGGCACAATTTGGACGTCACGTCCATTCTCTACCTGTGCTGGAGGGTATCAGGGCACTCTCCTCTCATGCTGTTGCAGCATCGTAATTTCCATGGCAATGGTTTTTGCTGACACTTTTTGTAAGCTAGCATTTGAACCTCTTTAGACACGTTTGGCATTTCATACTGTTCGTTAAAACAGTCTATGATGCACACTTTGATACTCAAGTACTTAACTCAGTTCATTCTTCTATCTATGTTGAATTATTCTGATTATTTTATTGGCTATTCTGTCCCTCCCTTTGTAAGCTTGGGTATTTCCCATGTGTATTAGCCAGGATAGTGGTATTCCTACTTACCGTAATTTTCTTTTCCGGGCTATTATTCCTGGCATCATATACTTCCCACCCACTGATGTCTCTATTTATATACTGTAGAGCTTGTAAACTGACTGAGGACCTTAGGGATGGAGCCTTCTTTTAAAACCTCGGTGGTTTTCCTGTCCTATCGGTTGTAAGGTGAGGAGCTAACCCATTTGTATATGCTGCCATGAATAATAGCCAGGAAAAGAAAATTACAGTAAGTATGAATTCATTTTCCACTACATATATTTTTTTTTTATTTCTCTTTTTTCTTTTTTTTTTTTTTTAACTTCTATTAACCTTATTTTTACTTTTCAACCAACATGGGGACTGCCTGTCAGTTCAGGCAGTTCCCCTGCTGGCAGCACTATGGACACCTATCGGGGCCATGGGACCGCTCTTTTAGAGCAGTCACATGGCCCCTGGGGGTCTTTTTTTGCAGAGGGGGGACTCTCTTGGCTCAGTCCAGAGAATTCCCCGAAAGAAGACCGATCACCGGCAGGTGGAAAGCGGTGATCGATAAGTACATGGGAGAGGGAAGAAGTGGGAGGGTGGGTAGGGGTTAATTTTTTAAAATTAAATTATTATTATATATATTTTTTGTACATATACTGAGTGCCTCGACCCCTGCCTGAAGGCTTCTGATGCTCTGTCTAACTGCCGGGCTCCACGTGGAGCAACCCGGAAGTGATCTCTCCTGAAGAAGTCTAATCGATGAAATGCGTTGAGCAGCTACGAGAGCCCTGCATTAGTGGTACAGCAGTCTTTGATTCTGTCAGTATACTTTTATTTGTGTTTGAAGAGTGGCATTTGGTGACTTTTGCACTCTGGCAGGTTTTTTTTGCATTGGCACTTTGTAAAATCTGCACAGTTATCTGTATAGTTGAAGCTGCTGTCCATAAGGGCTGTCTTGGCTTATTTGGCTTTTTAACATAACTATTAATATAACTATTTAATAATTTAACTGTATTGCGATTTTGCACATTCTTGTGCACTATTGCTTATTTTATTTGAATGTACTATTAATTAAGTGGATATTTTTCTTACATCCATTGTCCCTTCTATCCATGGGAATCTCCAGATTGAATGTAACCTTGTGACTGTGGCTCCCTGATTTATGATTCAGGATCTTGTTTCTTTTTTTTTTTTAGAGGTTTTGGAGTGACCTCATGACAGTGGCTTGCCTGCACTAGTTTAATACTATTTCCCCACCCATTTACATTTTCCTTACACTAGAGAATCACTTAAACGACCACCGCTACTGGTTGTCAGTCAGACAGTTACTAGAGGGCACTTCTAGTGTCTTCATGCTCTGTATGTAGGTACCAAACTCTCCCGATAATCATAGATTCAATCTAAATAGACAGAAAAACACTCTAACTTTATTAATACATGTTTGTATTCCAAAGTTAAAGTGTACCTTTAAGAGTCTCAGTATGGCAGCGATCTAGTCAATTTCACTTTATCCTAATTATTTAAATCCCCATTTTTTAAGTCCAAATAACTTGGGACTTGTGTAACAAAAAGTACAGGAAAGTAAAGATGCATATCAAAAATACATGTTAATGATTTGAAATATTAAACTTTTTTAACAAAATAAAATAATGGTTACATATTAAAATATGCCCAGTGTAGAGATATTGTCTTATTTGCATAATGACATACCCGTTGATGACAGTTGTACAAATTCCCTAGACAAATATTCGCATTAGAATGGCCCACGCCACAGAGAGCGTTCAGTGACTATGGCACAATCATTGGATATCACTTTCAAACTATCTAACAAGTCAGTTAGATTTCTTACTTGACAGAGCTGATCACTTGTAACTTCTGTTATTATGAATTGGAAAAATATGAAAGTAACCACCGCTAATCTGCAAAATGCTAGGCAACATTAATAAGAATAACCCTGCCAAATGCTGCACTGCATAGGACATAAAACTTGTCCATGTTTTCAACACCCGCTGCCAGGTTTAAAATGTTTCTAAAAACAATGTCAGCACAAAAACTTCTCTAAAAGGAGTAGTGGTTTAGGCCGTTATCATGGAGGCACGCCTCTAAGTTGACATCAGACAAGGAGGAGCATGTGGCAGGACTGAGAAAAAGTAAATAAAATGACCTGTATTATTTCCAGTTCACAAAGAGGTGATACATCAAAATAGATAGAGGCAATGATAGTATAGCATTAGAAATACAGATTTGCCCCTTTACAATGAACCTGTCATGGCAGTATCATGGCGTAAGAAATGCATAAAGTTGCATAGTGTTGAAAAACCTGTCTTACCCGGTTTAAATCCTTTTACTCCTTCTCCAATGCTCTCTACAATACCAACTCCTTCATGACCAAGAATGATAGGAAAGGTTACTTCTTTTAGTTTCCCCTCAAGTGCATGGTCATCACTGCCACATATTCCGGTTGCTACCATCTAAAAATGGGAATACACAAAGTATTAGGCTTATTCTTCTCTGGCATTAGATTGATAATCAATTATTTGTTAAATCATACCCAGATTTCACACCTCTCAATTGTCATTGATCCATCAAGCCAATTTAAAACTTTTTTTTATTGTGGATTCTAGAGACTTAATAAGAATCTCCCCAAAATTGCTGTTTTTATGGAGATACCCTGTAAGCTCCTTTTACATTGGAATATAGATTATGTTCGATTTTGCTTACAAATTTATGCACATGCGCATTAATAGAAGTGGACTTTAAAGAGCTTTATGCCAGACTGATGGATTTTATCCGATCATGTGATCGGAGATGCCGGAAATACGTCACCAACTAGAGACGTGTAATGGATATGACGAAGATCACAGGTGGAGAGAGGAAATGCGCCTTTTTGGAAGATTTAACCCCTTAAGAACTGAGCCAAATGTACACGTTGTGATCAAAACAAAACGTAAACAAAAACTGGAATTTGCGCTATATGTCTGTTTAGGCGTAATTCTCCTCTTTCATATTATGTGCACCCACACTTATTATATATCATTTTATTCAGGGGAAACAGGGCTTTAATTTATTAAAACATAACTTAATATGAATAAAATATAAAAAAAGGGAAAAAATAAGAATGAAAAAAAAAAATTTTGTTCTACGTGACATTTTAACTGTGAGTGTCATAATACTGTTTGCTTTCTTTTACTGCAATAATATACAAATATTTGTATTCAGCAATGTCTCATGTGTAAAACAGTACCACCTATGTACAGGTTTTATGGTGTTTTGGGAAGTTACAGGATCAAATATAGCATGTTACATTTTTTCAGTTTTTTCACATTGAAATTCGCCAGATTGGTTACGTTGCCTTTGAGACCGTGTGGTAGGCCAGGAATAAGAACTATCCCCATGATGGCATACCATTTGCAAAAGTAGACAACCCAAGGTATTGCAAATGGGGTATGTCCATTCTTTTTTAGTAGCCACTTAGTCATAAACACTGGCCAAAGTTAGTGTTAATATGTGTGTGTGAAAAACGCAAAAAACTAATTTGAACGCCAATTTTGGTCAGTGTTTGTGACTAAGTGGCTACTAAAAAACACTGAACATACCCCATTTGCAATACTTTTGGTTGTCTACTATTGCAAATGGTATGCCATCATGGGAGTAATTTTCATTCCTGAGCTACCGTACGGTCTCAAAGGCAACATAACCAACCTGGCGAATTTCAATGTGAAAAAAACTGAAAGGCATGCCTTATATTTGACTCTGTAACTTTTGAAAAACCCACAAAATCTGTACATTAAGGGTACTGTTATACTCGAGAGACTTCGCTGAACACTAATATTAGTGTTTCAAAACAGTAAAACGTATCACAGCAATATCATCAGTGTAAGTGCCATTTGTGTGTGAAAAATGCAAAAAATGTCATTTTCACTGATGATATCATCGTTGTAATACATTTTACTGTTTTGAAACACTAATATTTGAGTTCAGCAAAGTATTCCGAGTAAAACAGTACCCCCCATGTACAGGTTTTATGGTGTTTTGGAAAGTTACAGGGTTCAATATAGTGCTAGCAAATTAAATTTGATGAAGGGTACAACAGGAACATATTTTTAATGGGACAAGTTACAGCTAAGTTATACACACCCCCAGGAGGGGGTCTCCATACAATTACACACAAACTCTTCCCCTCTGTGAAGAATCACCTTCCATGCATTCGGTACTTTCCCTCCCTGCTACTTTGTGCGTGGATTTATTACCTTTATTACTAGTTCATTCGTTACTTTCTATTTGTCAAATAGCTATTTTACCGAACGAGGAACACTCTGGGTAGCAATTACAATGTAGAATCCTGTGTTATTGCACGAAACCACAAGCTAATTAAGTGCTCCTGGGTGGCCACCATTTCGGGACACGAGCACGTGGCGAGAACAATGGATGGCGGCCATCTTAAACTCCCGAACGGCCGGCCAGCGGGACTTAGGCATTGAGCGCCTGGAACTATAATTTCGGCATGGCTCTCCAGCAATACCTGGTCCCCCATGGAAGTCCCATCTTACCCATTTACATGAATTGCACACAAATGGCGTTCGGGAGTTTCAATCTACCGAACGAGGGGAGCACTCTCAGGTAACCCTCTACATTATATCTATGGGGGTTTTCGTGCAATTTTCATCCGAATGGAGACCAGCTCGCACCACTGATTTCATGGACCTCTGGGTCGGCTACAAACTCGTGGCGAGCCGGTCAAACTTCCACACTGTATAACTCCAAAACTACCGAATGGTTTCTCACGAAATTTGGATAGGTTGCTCATATCACCCTTAGCTACCCAGTGATATTTTTATATTGATATTTTATGTATAATGTATGTTTCTAATAATTGTGGAAAATTTTTAACTTTTCTGGCCACTAGATAATTGAGTTTGATAAGTGCTCAAACCCAATTATCTAGCCTGGCCCAGAGGAGGAGTTATGTACTGTATAAATTGTGTGCCTTGTTTCTCAGTACATCAGACTTGTTCCAGCATTAAGCCTTGGCTCATGTGTGGATTATTCGGCTATACCAGCGATTTATTACTTTGTGGATTACTTGGTGATTTTATTTTATAGGAAGAAGGGGAATGCTTGACGGAGTAAAGGATTGTGCCTTCACAACTGGTTGGCAGCGGTGGCATTTTCCTTTTTTTCCCCTGCACAAAGGATCCAAGGAAGGCACTATTGTACAGTGCGTGGAGGGCTGGTACACACAGCTTAAACGAAGCACACTGAAGGAACTGTTGGAGGTACGTGGATGTATTGCCAGCAACAAGGCCAAGCGGGTCATAATTGCTGAACTCATGGAGCTAGACCGGGAGAGCTTGGCAGCAGCAGTACTGACCGGTCAGGAATCTGAAACCAACAGGGAGATCAGAGAGCGGCTGGCATGGTTTGGACTGAACCCACCTGCTGAAATTATTATTAACACCGTAACAGAGCAGGCACTAAAGCTGGCTGAAACCCAGCGAATGACGGCAAGTCCACCAATCGGAGGGATAACCACTGTGGACTCGAAGGTTCCCTTCAGTGCGTTTAAAAGCTTCAACGAGATTGACAGCTATCTGGCAGACTTTGAACGCCAGTGTGCCCTACATAAAGTACCTACAGAGGAGTGGGTCTCTGTATTATTGGGAAAACTGTCAGGCAAGCAGCGGATGCCTTCAGGGCCGTACCGGAGCAGGAGATTCACAGTTATGTCCCGGTCAAGGAGGCGCTACTAGCCCCAGAAGCATACCGCAAGAAATTCAGGGATTCACGCAAAACCGACAAGGACTCGCATGCGGAGTGGGCCTGTCGCCTACAATGATCTGCGTCAAACTGGATCACCAGCTGCCAGGCAACTACTGTGGATGACATCCTGCAGCTCATGCTATTAGAACAATTCTACGACCACATCCAGGCGGACGTCAAAGATTGGGTAAGGGACCGCAGACCCATCTCCCTAACTGAGGCCGCCAACCTCGCAGATGAGTTTACAGACAACTGCCAGGCGACCCGTGTAGCATCTTGGAGCCAACCCATTCGGACAGAAGCACCACCGGCAGCGACCAGGTACCAACCCCCCAGCAGACCCTCCAGCCCCATCCAACGACACCCAGCTAGCAACGAGCCCCGCTGTTTCCGCTGCAAGCAACTAGGACACCTTCAGAACAACTGCCCACTGGAAGCACCCAGGTCCAACTGGTCTCGACCGGGGTTCTCCAATTTCAGGGCCGCAGCTCACTGCATGGATTACCTGGTGCCATCTGCCTGGGACACAAAGGAATTAAGCCGGGAGCAACCCCTGGGCATGTTGTACGAAGCTCACTTAGTCCAGTCTTCCATCACGGACAATCAGAAACACTATTGTCAGTTGGTGATGGTGAATGGGAAGACTGCCCGAGGACTCGGGGATAGTGGTGCCACCATCACCTTGGTTCAGAGGCACCTTATTGATAATGGAGAACGACCAGGGAAATCTATTGCTGTGCGAGTGGCAGGGGGGGCTGTTTACCGGATTCCTACAGCCCAGGTCCATCTGGACTGGGGCGCTGGAGCTGGCAACGTACAGGTGGGAGTCATGAAGGAACTACCCACAGAAGTGATATCGGGGAATGACATTGGACCATTAACTTCAGCATTTGTACCCACACCCACCCACGAGGCCCAAACGGTGACCACCAGAGCCCAGAGCCGTGCACCTCCTACTGAGACCCAGGTAAGCCAACTTTCCCCGCCCCTGATGGTAGAGCACCTTCCCTGGGATACCCCGGAGGATTTTGGGAGGGAAGTAGTGGGATACCCGTCCCTATGGAAATATAGGAAGAAGGCGTGAGTAGGGCAAGTGGGGTTAGGATGAGAAGAGTTAGTATGGGAAGATGGCAGGCTGTATAGGTTCACAGAAACCCGGGTTAATGCACCTGGGCCCCAGCAAAAATGCCATCTGGTAGTCCTGAGGAAATACCGGCGGGAGTTGTTGCAGATTGGACATGATGTCCCGCTAGCAGGTCACTTGGGAATACGCCGGACATTAAACCGGGTAACTCAGAATTTTTTCTGGCCTGGGGTATCTGATGATGTCCGGAGTTGCTGCCAGACCTGTGCGGTTTGCCAGAGGGTAGGTAAGAAGAGAGACAACCCTAAGGCCAAAATGGTCCCGATGCACATCATCGAGGAGCCCTTCATGTGGGTAGCGGTTGACCCTAGCTCAGCCTAGCCGCTCCGGTAAGCGCTATATACTTACCATAGTGGACTACGCTACACGCTACCCCGAGGCAGTGGCCCTTCCCAATATCCACGCTGAGACGGTGGCTGATGCCTTGGTCAAGATTTTCTTTCGAGTAGGATTCCCCAAAGAGATTTTATCGGACCAGGGTACGCAGTTCACTGCGGAATTAACCCAACAACTATGGAGGATCTGCGGATTAAATGCCTGACAAGCTCCCTGTACCACCCCAGACCAATGGTCTCTGTGAGCGCTTCAACGGCACGCTAAAGCAGATGTTGAAGAAGTTCACGGGGACCTATCGGGACTGGGAGCGATTCCTGCCGCACCTTCTCTTTGCATACCGGGAGGTGCATCAGGAATCCACAGGATTTTCACCCTTCAAGCTACTGTATGGAAGGCGAGTGAGGGGGCCCCTAGACCTTATTAAGGATCATTGGGAAGGCCAGACTGAGATTGAGGGTACTCCAATTGTCCCCTACGTGCTGGGGTTGAGGGACCGCATGGAGGAACTGGCCCAGACGGTAAGGGAGAACCTCCAGGCGGCTCAACAGCACCAGAAAGTATGGTACGATTGGAGAGCCAGGCACCGGAGCTTTCAAACTGGGCAAAAGGTATTAAGGCCAGTCCACACGGACAAGCTCCAGTCTGCCTGGCAGGGCCCGTACAAAGTCATAGGGCAGGTATGTGATACCACATATACAGTAGCGAGCTGTGAGAAGGAGGATGTGAAACGGACCTTTCACATCAACATGCTCAAGACGTATAACGAAAGGTCTGAGGATGTGACTGCCATCTGTGCTCCAGCCGGGGAGGACACAGAGACTTTACCCTTGCCAGACTTGCCAGGGAGATGAGGGACCTAGATTTGGTTTGGCTGGGGGAACAGCTGGGGCTATCCTGCCAAATAGACTTACTCTCGGACTAATGGCTGGAGACCCGTCAGCCTTACTGGACCCGGAAAGGTCCAGCCACGTCTGCCGGGGCAGGGAGTAAAAGGGGGGCCATTGTGAAGAATCACCTTCAATGCATTCGGTACTTTCCCTCCGTGCTACTTTGTTTGTGGATTTATTACCTTTATTACTAGTTAATTCGTTACTTTCTATTCGTCAAAATCCCTTGTTCGGTAAAATAGCTATTTTACCGAACGAGGAATACCCTGTGTAGCAATTAGAATGTAGAATCCTGTGTTATTGCACGAAACCACATGCTAAATGAGTGCTCCTGGGTGGCCGCCATTTCGGGACACGAACACGTGGCAAGAAGAATGGATGGCGGCCATATAAAACTCTTGAACGGCTGGCCAGCGGGACTTAGGCGTCGAGCGCCTGGAACTAATTTCGGCATGGCTCTCCAGCAATACCCGGTACCCCATGGAAGTCCCGTCGGACCCATTTACACAAATTGCACACTAATGACGTTCGGGAGTTTCAATCTACCGAACGAGGGGAGCACTCTTAGGTAACCAGCTACATTATATCTATGGGGGTTTTCGTGCAATTTTCATCTGAACGGAGACCGGCTCACACCACTGATTTCATGGAACTCTGGGTCGGCTACAAACGCGTGGCGAGCCTTTTAAACTTCCACACGGTATAACTCCAAAACTACCAAACTGATTCTCATGAAATTTGGATAGGTTGCTCACATCACCCTCAGCTTGAGAACTGAGTGGGGACCCACCGAAGGGCAGGCTATTTTAGCTGCTGCCTCTTCTCAGTATTCTCTTGCGCCCCGTTTTTTGCTCTTCATAAGTTTAAAGGGTATTCCAGACATGGACCCCTTGCACATGGTGCCTAAAGAGATGTCAGCTATGCCTCACTGATGATGCCTAACAAGGCTGAAACAATCGTCTGAAGTTGCCGTATCTCTTGTGCAGAGGGAACTTGCTGGCATTTCGGATCTGGACTGCCTGTATGGGTGGGAACAGTCTGATATGTTTCAGAGATGTTCTCTCTGTAATGACACAAGATGAGCTAAAACCAGCTTGAGAACTAAATGGGGACCCACCGAAGGGCAGGTTATTTTAGCTGCTTCCTGTTCTCAATATTCTCTTTTGCTCTCTACTATGGATTTTTATTTGCCCTTTTTGGGGGCTGAAAAAAGATTTTAGAAAAAAGACATCAAATGGTAAGTTTTGTTTATTTTTTTCACAGGTACCTAGTTATTGGTTCCCCCTTACTATTTTTAGGGTGAGGGGGGTAGGTAGGGGTTCATTAATTTTTTTGGGAGGGGGATGACTAGGGGTTTGGGACCCCTAGTCACCTGGGGGGATTACAATTTTTATTTAGGGCCCCACCCGCCGCTCAGGGGTGGGGGCCAGGACAATAGGTCCCCCCATTATTCTAATTTAGGGCCCCTACCCACCGCTCAGGGGTGGGGGCCAGGGGGAGGACAACTTACCCTTATTGGTATTAAGGGCCCCCACCCACCGCTCAGGGGTGGGGGCTGGGGGAGGACAATAGGTCCCCCCTTATTGGTATTTATGGCCTCCACCCACCACTTAGGGGTGGGTGCCGGGGAGAGGACAATAGGTCCCCCCTTACTCTAATTTAGGGTCCCCTGCCACCGCTCATGAGTTGGGGCCAGGGGGGTGAGGACAATAAGCTTAATTTTATCTATTTATATCATTATTTAAAATTTGTATCATTGAACTCTCTGTGTTCTTTTAAAACAAAAGTTATTAGTTCGGACAACAGTACAAGTTGTTTTTTTCTAAACTTAAACCTCAGTATTTGGGTTTAATCGCCGTGTTGGCACTTTAAAGAGAAAAAATGTTGGCATGTATTGCGGTTTGGGCACTCGGGCTCAAAAAGGTTCGCCATCACTGGTCTAGTGGGAAATCCAGCCCTGGAAATAGGAGTGTGTGTTCTGGCTGTGTGAAGTGTATGTGTGTTAGCTGTACTGGATATGTATGTAGGGGTGAGCTTGCTGTACGGGGTGACACTTTAAATTGAATAGAAAAGAATCACCCTCTTAGTCTAGAAGTCTAATAGTATGTCTTTTTTACCTGGACTCCTAGAATTTGTGTGCAGTACAGAGCTCCAGAGACAGTAGGTAAGAACCGTTCTTGAAAACAGCACAGTTTGGAAATCTGTTAGGATCATGGATAAGATCCACTGAGTCCAGATTGTCAGGTAAGTCTCCATACATTCAAGCCATAAGCTCACAGGTGGGGGTGGGGGGTTTCCAAAAAGAGGAATAAGCCCCTTGGCTATGTTTAGGATCTGTACCATTGTGGATTTTGGAAGTTGTGTGATGTAATTTGGTGGCAGGCAAAGAAAGTGAAGGATTATCAGAGAATTTTTTTATTATGTTATGAACTTTACACCAAAACGGGTGTATAAGGGGGCATGCCCACAATATGTGAAGGAGGGTGCCTTTGGGTGCTATTTTGTGGTTAAAATACATGCTATAATGCAAATACACAGTTTAGATTGTGATTTCATATTGTTTTCTATCAGAATATAAAAAACAGACATATTTTTTTTACTCTATTCATTCAGTGATCGTAAACTGTGGGATTTAAGTTTGTATAAACATTTACACAAATGTAAAATAAGGTGTCTTGTTACAAGGTATTGTTATTTCACTTCAAACCAAAGTATTAGAAAGAAGGGGGTTGTTGAGTAATATATAATTACAATCTTGATTATATACATAAGATATTACTCCTCTTTAATATGTTTTTATTATTATTTAATCATGGATAGAATCCAAATAGTTTTTTTTTGTTTTTTTTTTATTATTATATAATTCTAACACTATATGTTTATATATTAAATATATATGTCTGTGTTAAAGACATTATTATTACTAATACAGATATATCTATATTTTAAAATATATAGTCAGTGTAACTACATCCAGACAACATATAACCTAATGTGTAAATGATATACCGACCTTATGATCAATAAATTCAATGTCTAGTAAGTGCTGGAATAAAACCTTTGATGTGACGTTATCTACATGATGGAGTAGCAATTTGACTTCCATTTTCGTCCTCAAAATTATTGAACTTCTTAAGAGATGGAATTAATGATCAAAATAATAATGGTACAATTACACCATCTCTTGGCTAAATTGGGAAAATTGACTATTTGGATGAAGTCACTCATTATAATTACAGTAATAGTGGCTGTCATTTGGAATTTTGTTAGCGGCTAGTATTTCATTGGGGATAGCCTATCAAATTGAATTAAATGCATTAACAAAATGGTAAACAACGTGTCTGCAAAGATTTTTATAGTATCAAATAGGGAGCCTGTGATGGTAGTCACCATCACTATGAGCATGAGAAAGACACTTCATGTAGGTCCCTGGATGACTTATGTTTAAGTCAAAGTTGTGCCCATTATAGGTGAAGTGTGTGTATTAATGTTATTTGTTTAGTTTTTTTCCTTGTGTGGTCTCCTGTTTTGCTGACGCTCTCTAACAACTAGGTAGATTTGGCTGTGGAGCCTATACAGTGCCATCTGTTGGTTGTGAAGATATTGCAACTGTTATGTACAGTATCTAAATAGCCAGACTTGATCATTTGCATATTCAGGTATATTTGCATGTTATGGTTTCTGCAGGCAGTGGACATATTTCTTGTTTGTCATAGTCTTCCCCATCCTTTTATCAATGTTATTGTGTTATTATCAGTTTATGTATGTTTCCCCATATGATTTGGTTATTTGTTTTGTATTGAGGGTATCACCATAAGTTAAACGTAATGCAGATAGGGGCTAGTCCATTAGAAAAAAAAAAAAAAAAAAGCGCATCGGGTGTTAGCCGTTACAGTTGTGTGTCCTGTGTGGATATTCAGGTATCCCAATAACAGAGTTTTCAGACCTGTGGGCTGGCTGCTTTGTTCCAGGATTCCCACGACAAACTGAAAAAGAGCTACAAGTGACTTTGTAAAGGCAGTAGCTAAAGAGACAAAGACAGAGGGTATGATATCTTCCTGGAAGGAGAGAGCTCTAGCCTGGTCCTGGTCATTTTCTAATATATATATATATATATATATATTTTTTTTTTTTTTTATTGTGATCCTTGTCAGCAGGTAGCACGGTCCTCTAGGGCAAAAACCATGCACAGTCCTTGTAATTGCATATACTCCAGGCACTTTATTTGTAAATCCACACAGTATACAGCAGTAAATGAAAACATAAATCTAACAGAAAACCCTATAAACAAAAACCTAGCTCGTCTGAGCACTAACTGACATTAGGTTCCCTATCTCTCAGGGTTAAACTAAACAAAACAATATTGCACCAACCTTATTAGATAGCAACACTCTGCTAGCTAGCCTGTTGCTTTCCTTTCTGCACTCCCAGTGCTCCAAGCCAGCCTTGCCCTGACTGCTTTCCTTTCTGCACTCCCAGTGCTCCAAGCCAGCCTTGACTGCTTCCTTTCTGCACTCCCAGTGCCTAGTCTCCTTGACTCTCTATATGGAGAGAACAGCCTCAATCCCTCTGCTTCACCTGCCTAGCAGGGAGGGGTTTATTCCCACTGCAACAGCTCATTAACTGCAGCTGAGCAGTGGGTTGGAGACGGTCCAAAAAACCCTGGCCTGGATCTATGTCTCCCCAGAAAACCACTAAACTGTGGAGTGGAGCATTGACCCACCCTTCTCTCCAAATGCTCCACCCCAGGGGCCCATAACTAAACAAAGATTTGCGTTGTGCAATACACAAACTACACGTACTTCCCCTGGGGTTAAAAGGCCTATCTGCCTTCACTTTATCACAATAAATATATATATATATATATATATATATATATATATGTGTGTGTGTATATATATATATATATATATATATATATATATATATATATATATATATATATATGTATATATACACACATATTACATTTACAAAGTTTGGGGTATTATACTTGTTTTTGCTTTTAGCTCCTCCCTCATTTTGTTGGACTGTACCATTTTTTGACATTTATTGTCCTATATTTGTACTTGTGGTATTTATCCACAATTCATTTGTTATTAAAATATATATTTTTAAATTACATGAGAAAAATACCCCTGGATAGAAGAACCTAAACAAGGGGTTAGATGAGGGTTACAGAGGTAATAAAGGGCATAACCCTAGGGATTGAATAATGAAAAATGAATAGTGAGCATTATTAGCTCCAAACTAAGGGAGCCAACCTACCTCACTAAAATAACCTCCTAAGTAAAAATCAATATAAGATAATAAACTATATTAATCAAAAATACATACATAAGAAATGAAACGTGCAAAGTCAGTGATCAAAGTGGAATTTAAAAGACTGCTGAGCTCTCATGTTATTATGTCTTATGTATACAAAATGTGCTCTATTGACTGCCATTTCGGGGTATGTGATGTTAAGCCTGAATTGTTGTTGTGGCAATGCATACGGATGTGTTCATGTGCGCACAAATAAAATAAAGAATTTAAAAAAAAAATAAGACTGCTGAGATTATACCATAAATATAAACGCTACCACTGTAAACTCCACTGGCTGTAAAAGTACTAGCTACAAAAGTAGCAACTTATATGTAGTAATTAGAGCCAATGTGTTACAAAAGTAACTTATTATTATCCCGGATGGGTAATACACAGAATTGACTGTGTTTCACAGGAAAAAAATGAGGGAGTAAAATATAGGGTAGTCTAAAATTAAACCTGAGATTGTGGTGTGTAAAAACAGATCAAATAGACTAAACAGGATATAAATGGAAATGTGTAAATATCCTGTAAATATCAGAAAGTCTATATCACTAAAGCGGTAGTACCATAGAGGGGGGAAACGAAGATTTGGGAAGGTAGATATACTACCCCCAATAGTAAGTAGATACTTAATCGTAAGAAAAAATTGAGGGGTGGGAGATACAGGCAGTGAAAAATCAGTAGTGTAATACCAGTCCTCACTTGATCCTTGAAGTTGGTTAAAGGCAGTATCCCAAAGACAGTAAATGCTGATCAACTCACAGCTTTACAAGCTCCTCCCACTAAGTGTAACATCTGCACGTTTCTCCAGTATAGCCCAACTTCCTCATAACATAAAGTGCTTGGAAACTGGTTTATATAGGCAAACCTTGCTGTCTCTTAGACCTTTCCATTGGTGGAGTCTCAAAGTACTTAATTTGCATATTGCAATCCTTATTCATTAACAAACATTTGCTGATTGGTCTCTAATGCAAACAGTCTATTTGCATAATTCATTGTGTGCATTCAGTCTTGTTTCACAGCTAAAAACCTTTTGTAGTGTTTAATATTTGGCACTCCACGGTGCTATTTTTGTTTATTTCAGCTATTTGACACTCATATTTTTTTATTTCAAAAGTTCTTTTTATTTTTTATTTTATTCATTTATTACTGCAGCCATTATGAGAGCTGCACTATTAGATATTTTTTTTTTTTTCGTTACTGATCTGAATTGATGAACAACGAGCGCCATCTTCTGGCTGTATAAGTAGAGCTTAAATTTTGGTGTGAGAACTCTCACCTAATTGTTAATTTCTCTACTTTTTATATGTTTTGTTTTATACTCCAAATGTTGTCTCCAAATGTAGTGCAGTATTTGTATTAAATTCTGGGAGCACAGGGTAGATCTGATATCAAAAAATTCAAACAAACTTTGACACACAGGACCACCTCAAGCCACTCCCCCATCACCCCCCCCAATTTAACGGCCCCCAAAAGAAACAAAGATTGTAGAATGCCAATTGTAAATACAATCTTAATAAACTACTGCCTCAATGGGAAGCAAGGCCTAAAGGATTTTGGCTAAAAAACATTTGTACACAGTAAATGGTACACAATAATGATAATAAAAAAAAGAAAAGAATAAAGGAAAATTGATTTACGTCTATAGAGGCATAGAGATGGTGAAGCCAGAAGAGTCTTGATGCCAAAGAAAATCAAGAAGAATCCTAAAACACAAGCCCCTCTCCCAATGTGTCCCATCCACAGCCACATCAATAATAACCATATAATGCAGAACATCTAGGTTAACTATAAGTGGTTGCCATGATCTACTATCTTTGGAAGGTGCAAGGCGTGAGGGAAGCTGTAATAGTGCAAGTACATGTCCCACCGGGTGAGAGGAGGCCATAAAACATTAAATAACAGCAAAGGAGATGTCCAGGTTTTGGTCTCTCCCCATGAACCCACACCCAAGTAGGAACAACAGAACTTGTATAACATATCCTGTTAGGCATGGGTCCCTTGTGTGTGAAGACCCTATACTTATCTGGAACATCCAACTATAATGGATTCTCTGCGTGGTGAGAGTGCAGGTAAGTGGTTTCAATGCTCTTCAATAGTCCAGGATGGCAGGTGACCGCTGTAATGGGCAGTTATCACACATCAGCTTGTGAGCTTCCCTGGCCACTCATAGAACAAAAGATGCCTAACAAGGGAATATTGGGAAGGTCTACAGCACCCTATGTGTTTAACCTCTTAAGGACACATGACATGTGTGACATGTCATGATTCCCTTTTATTCCAGAAGTTTGGTCCTTAAGGGGTTAAATAAAATTTATGGTAGGTGTCCTGGTCTCACTGTAGATTGCTAAATTAAGATCTCAATAGATATGCCACAGAGCTATTCCCAGCACTCTTCAGACAGGCCTGTCAGTCACAATTTCTAGTGACAGACTCTATTGTCTAATAGACCTCCAGGTGAAGAGCTAGGTTTCCGAGTTCTATGGTCTGAAACTCCACGGTGTCAGTATTTACTGCCTGGGCAGTCAGAAGGTTCTTATAGTCTACCTACATACAAGATACTTGAAGGTGGCCTACCTACATAAAAGATACTTGTAGGTTGTCATGAAGCCTTTGTAGATTGTCATGAATCATCTGAAGGTCTGTTCTGAGAGAAACTTGTAAAACTGGGGATTTCGTTTGGTCGGCCGTGCCTTTATTAGAGACTCTCAATTCACGCCAGGTGGAGCGCTGACCAGTTCTTCCCATAATGGATGTTTGCTCTCGATAATAACGTAAGCAGTGTTGGAGTTGGAAGAAGCTCAAAATTAAGTACCCATATTCCTCAACCCCTCCCCCTTCAATTCACTTAAATTCACTGTTTAGTGAATAAACATATAGGAACACGTTCCTAGTGTGGTCTTAGGTAGGAAAGTAGGGTTATAAATTACTGACAGCACAAACCTCTATATATTATCATACTGTAAATGAGATGTTGAGACGCTTTGTCATAAATGATATCTTTGTCAGTAAAAGAGTGATACAGTTAACACAACAAAGTGCATATCAATTACATAATAATTTATAGAATTGTACAAATTTGTGAAAACATAATATCTTTACCTTAATTCGGATTTCATGGCCTTTTGGTGGAGCCACTTCCACCTCCTCAATCGAAAATGGTTCATGTGCCTGCCAGGTAACAGCTGCCTTGCATTTGATAACCTATCAATAAAACATAATACATTATGATTTTAATATTTATTTTATGGTTTATGACATAAAATCTATCTCTATCTATCAAAGAATTCAAAGAACTTTCCCACGCTGTGTAAAATGACACAGAGCACTCTGATTTGTTAGCTTGAAATCCAGCCAATCAGAGTGCTCTGTGTCATTTTACACAGCGTGGGAAAGTTCTTTGGAATTTTCCCACGCTGTGTAAACTGACACAGAGCACTCTCATTGGTGGATTTCAAACCAACCAATCAGTGCTGTGACAGGTAAATGTAGTGACTTACCTATTTACCTGTCAGAGCACTCTGATTGGATGGCTTAAACCCACCAATCAGAGTACTCTGAGCCTAATTGCAGGGCACGGCAAGGCTTTATAAGCCTTCCCCCTGTCTGCGCGGAACCCTCCATGGCTGAAGAAGGTTTTTTTTTTTTTTAAATGCGTCGGTTATTCTGGATTTTAATTGGCCTTTTTTGGGGCTGAAAAAAGAGATTTTAGAAGAAAGAAGACATCAAATGGAAAGTCATTTTTTTTTTTTTTTTACAGGTATTTAGACAAGGGTCCCCCCTCATTATTTTTAGGATGAGGGGCGTAGGTAGGGGTAATTTTTTGGAGGGGAGGGGGTGACTAGGGGTTTGGGGACCCCTAGTCACCTGGGGGGGTTTATTTAGGGCTCACACCCACCGCACTGGGGTGGGGGCCGGGGGGAGGACATTAGGACCGCCCCTTATTGTTATGTAGGGCCCCCACTACCGCGCAGGGGTGGGGGCCGGGGGGAGGACATTAGGTCCCCCCCAATTTTTATTTATGGGCCCCCAATTTTTATTTATAGCCCCCACCCACCGCTCAGGGGTTGCGGCCGGGGGGGAAGGAAAGTAGGTCCCCCCTCTTATTGTTATTCAGGGGCCCCACCCACCGCACAGGGGTGGGGGCCAGTGGGGAGGACAGTATTGTTATTTAGTGCCCCCACCCACCGCTCAGGGGTGGGGACAATATGTCCCCTTCCTTATTGGTATTTAGGGCCCCCACCCGCTGCTCAGAGGTGGGGGCCAGGGGGGCAATAGGCCCCCTTTTAGTTTAAAAGCCCCCACTCACGAGTCGCGGGTGGGGGCTCGGGAGGGGGAATTTTTTTTAATTTTTTTTTTTTTTTTTTTTAACAGTGAGCAGCCACAGGCTGCTCACTGTTTTATAGACACACCCCTACTCACCAGGGCCGGACTGGGGATACGAAGCAGCCCTGGGAAAAAATCTATGCCAGCCCCATAAGTCATTGTGCTATGTAGGGTGTATTATTTATATTTATAAATATATATATTATTAATACATTTCTTCTTCTAATTCAAAATATTAGTCCTTTTAGGGTAATTTAAATTATACAGTAAAGCATACTCACATAAAGACACAGACAATCTTACTGATGCACACAAATAGGCTCATTGACAGACAATCTCAATGACGCGCACACACACAAATTTAGTACAGACAAAACTCTGATACACACACAAGCTTACTACAGACAAGCTCACTGATGCACACACACTCTCCCTACAGACAAGCCCATTGACACACACATGTTCCCTACAGAAGAGCTCACTAACACACAGAATCACTACAGACAAGCTCACTGACACACAAATGCTCACTACAGACAAGCTCACTGACACACATATGGTCACTACAGACAAGCTCGCGATCACACACATCCTCAACACAGACAGGCTCAGACACACCCATGCTCCCTACAGACAAGCTCACTAACACATGCACACACACACATGATCCCTACAGACAAGTTCACTGACACACATACAAGCTCACTTACTAGCAGGCACACACACACACACACACACAAACTCACTAGCAGGTGCACACACACAGAAGCTCCCTCACTAGCAGATGTGCGCGCACACACACACACACACACACACAAGCTCGCTCACTCACTAACAGATGCACACACACAAAGACATCCACACACACAGAGGCAGACAGTTACTGACACCAAGGCAGACATCCACACATATAGAGACAGGCAGACAGCCCCACAGCCACAAACACACAGGCAGACAGTCACACACACAAGCAGACAGTCACACAGTCACACACACAGGCAGACAGTCACACAGTCAAACACACAGGCAGTCACACACACAGGCAGACAGTCAAACACACAGTCACACACTGGCAGATAGTCACACACACACCGGCAGACAGTCACACACACACAAACACACACACAGGCAGACAGTCACACATACACACAGGCAGACAGTCACACACACCGGCAGACAGTCACACACACACACACACACAGGCAGACAGTCACACACACACACTGACCTGCTTCTTACCTCCACATCCCCTTGTGCTCCTGGAAGCTGGTTGTTGGGGAAGCAGGGACTCCTTCCTGCTTCCCATTCTGCAGTTACCAGGGCCCCTGCCGCACAGCAAGTTCCGCCCCCACCGCAGCTAAACCCCGCCCCTGCTGCAAGATTTTTTTTGTTTATGATTGCGGCCGGCCATGTGTGAGCTGTGCCGGCCGTCTGGCTCCCCCCGCTCCCATGGGGCCCTGTGCAGCCGCACAGCTCACACATAGTCGACCGGGATTACAGGAGCCTGATCACTGATTAGGGCTGTCAGCCCAGCCCCAGGTGCCGTGGCTCACCGGGAAATTTCCCGGTATCCTGGTGGGCCTGTCCGGCCCTACTACTTGCGGTATAGCGAGTAGGGGCATAATTTACTAATACTAAGTGACCAGCTTCTATAGAGGCTGGGTCACTTTTTTCCCTTGGCCAATCACAGCCATGCCATTAGTAGGCATGGCTGTGATGGCTTCTAAAGGCACATGAGTCAAACGCTTGTTGATTGGCTGCCCTGCAGCCTTTCAAAACGCGTCATTAAATCGCTGAACTCCGAACTCCAACCTGAACATACAGTGATATTTCCATGTTTGGGGTCCAAAAAATGCAATGTTCGGCACTCTAGTAATTATCTTGTACACACTTTATATCAGTCTTGTCTCCCCTTTTTATGGGGTGACGTACTTACCTTTAGATAGGTTAAAATTTATCTCAAGCAGATTAGTCATAAAATAACAAAACCAGGGGGCGGGGCCGGACCACCGAGCTGGCTGGTCGCAAACAAGAGCAGCTCCTGCAAAACAATCACAATTTAGCTGAAAAACCATATCTAATCACAGTCAAACCGACCACCAGTGACAGTACCCAGAGCACAGGGACTGCTGGACCTTGGGAGAGGCTGGCTCATTGAGCTTCAGTCCCCGGGAGGAGATAGCCTTACTTCCACAAGCAGGGCCTTCTCCGGCGGTGAGTGGGGCGGACGGCCGCTGCCCCACTATCCTGCACCACAGTACCCAGCTTGAGGCACAAATCCAGGTGGATCCGGACCCGTTCCCCTCCCCCCTCGGTCCGGTGGGGGTGATCCCGGTCCTCACCCTGTGGCCCTACTCAAGAGAACACAAATGGAGCCGGGGGACCCGAGAGCAGCCTCCAAGATGGCGGGAGCCATGTGCGCGGGAGGCAGGAAGAAGACCTGCACCATCTTCGAGCTTGCGGCAGACAACGGGGCTCCAACACCCCAACCCTGCAACAGAGAGGGGCGGACTAACCACCACCTACCCCCGCACCCACACATGCCGAAGTCGAGTGGTACAAGCGACCCCAGCCAGCGGATAATGGCGACCGCACTAGGGGGAAGGGACGTTGCGCCACTACCACTCCCGCCCGGGAAAGCAAAGCCTGCAACAAAGCGAGCTACCTCCGCACGAGGACCCACCTCACATTCACCTGCCACCCAGCTCGCATCACCGCGACCCAAACAACGACAAACTCAGGCGACCAAAACAGAGTTACCAGTCAGGCCTGACACCAGCCCCCCAGAAGACCGACAGAAGCAAGTTTCACAACAGGCGGCTGCCATCCAAGAGAACCCAGCGAGGACCCCACAGAACAGCATGGACTATGCCTGGATACTTGCTCTGACGGACGATCGTTCCCTGCTACGCAGTACTAGCAGAGCAGGTATTGGTACTCCACCCCCCTGTCTGTGTGGGCTCGGGATCACCCTGAAGCCAGCCTTCCCCACGGAGAAAACACGGGTAACCTCTCCGATACACCAGGGGTCCAGAACTCTTATAGCGACCTACTTAAGTCACACGAACAAATTATCTAGCATTCTGTTTTATGTGGTAAACCTATATACATGTAGTTTACACTGCACTTACAAGCACACACTCACATAGACATCACTGCCCCACAAGCAACGCACAAACCAGCAGACCGCATCCACACAGCAGCATATCTTATGATGCCCAACGTACTTAACCAAGTGAGAACCTGTATGACTGTAACACTGACCTAGTTGTGCACTGACAGCTATGACTTGAGGCTGCTACACGAGACTGTATGTATATCTCTCAATAATACATAGACCAACGACTGCCCTAGTCAATTATGCAAACAGAGTGCAATTCATGTTTTAAAGCTACCGTCTCATGCCTAACTAATACTTGCTATATGACTCAAGCTTGATTGTCTTTCGTTAAAAGTGTGTTCACATTATTGTTTCACAACAAGTCACCTACACAAAAACCATCAGCTTAAGTGTGAATAACTACGTTATATGGATATCTGACCTAGCATGTCTACTACCAACTGCTAAAGTCTCATAGCCTGTGATCTTTCTGTTATATATAAAAAATGTGCTGTTTACATTGCCACACTCTGTGATGCCATGAAAACACCTGCAGATGCTGTTGTGGCTCTGCTCGCATGTTGTTAACTCATGCACAAATAAAATAAAGAATAAAAAAAAAAAAAATAACAAAACCAGGCAATCCATGGTTAGCCCTTGGTCCAATCTTTCTTTATTTACATATTCAGCATAATATTCGTTGAGAATTGTAAAAACACAATCTTTCAGAGTTGCTATGTCTGAGGCAGAACATATCGTTAAAAGGCTCAAGATTGAAGGTTCAGTGGTTTATGAATACATGTTCTGTGTCATGGGACCAAAAACTTGTTTTCTGAAAAGGAAATGCCACATTTGGGAAATATAAACATATACGTTGAATTTGCTAACTGACACACAAATTAATACCAATATTGAAATATGTAAGTTGGAAAGATCCATGCACTTACTTTGCCTGCCGTCTCCATTCTCCTTAAAAAAAAAAGAGCTAATCATGTGATCAAGTAAACCTGTATATAGATGGGATGTTAATAATTTGCTACAGCACAAGCCTTCCGTTTTGCAATTCCACAGAGCTCAATGCACCTTTGAACAGATTTTCTGGTTTTGTTAACTAAAGGTCAATAAACATATCAGTCTCACGATTCTTATATGTGTTTTTGTTATCATTGTCTAGTGTTTGTTAAAAAGACACTCTAAGTAGCAGTGGCGTGCACATGACCCATGGGGCCCCGGTGCGAAAATTGATCCGTGGCCCCCCCCCCCGACCCCCGCGCTTACTCGGCGCGGGTTGGGGCCGCAACACATGGCGGTGGGCACCTGGTCGCAGGGGTTGCAGGGCTGCGACCCCGCGACCGCGGTATGCACACACACTTAAAGGACCACTACAGACACCCAGATCACATCAGCTCAATGAAGTGGTCTGGGTGCCCGAATCCCTAGTTTAACCCTGCAGCTGAAAACATAGCGTTTCATAGAAGCGTATATTTCACTGAGGTTAATCCAGCCTCTGGTGGCTGTCTCATTGACAGCTGCTGGGGCTTCAGCGATTCTCACTGTGAAAATCACGGTGAAGTACTGAAGCGTCCATAGAAGCATTGAGTAATGCTTTCCTGGAAATTTTAAATATCAGCGGCATATGGCGTGCGCATTGAGGCTTTGAGAAGCGGGAGGATCCCCAGCCAGGGAGTCCGGCAGCTGGAGAAAGGTAAATGCTGAAGACACACACTCTCATGAACAGACGCATACACACTAGCTAACAGACACACACATTTACTGACAGAGACACACTCAGCGACAGACATACATACACACTCACTTACAAAACATACACTTTCACTGACAAACACACACTCACTAACAGACATCAAACACACAGTAACACACTCACTAGCAGACAAACACACAATAACAGACACACTCACTGACACACACACGAACACAAACAAACACACACACTAACACACTAACACACACACTAACACATTTTTTTTAATTTAATCCCCCCAGCCTCCTTACCTTTTGGAGTGCTGGGGGGATTCCCTGGGGTCCAGTGGTTCTGCTGGCCCTGCTGACCCCGGGTGGCCGGTCGGGCAGGCAGGCGGGCGCGCGAGGGAGCACTCAGTGCTTCCTCTTCAGCTTCCTTGCGCGCCGCGTAGGGATGCCGGCGCCGGAAGATGACGTCATCTTCCGGCTCCGGTATCATTGCGGTGCGCGAGGGAGCTGAAGAGGAAGCACTGAGTGCTCCCTCGCGCGCCCGCCTGCCTGCCCGACCGGCCACCCGGGTCAGCAGGGCCAGCCTCAGGGGGGCCCTGGGGTGGTCGGCTCCTGGGCCCCCCAGGGGAAGAGGCTGGCCCTGTGGCTACATACCGGGTCGCAGGGGCGGCCGGGCCCCCTGGTGGGCCGGGCCCGGTCGCAGCTGCGACCCCTGCGACCCTGGTATGTACGCCACTGCCTACACAATACACAAAGCTGGGTACAATACAGAGATACCTATACAATACACTGATCTGGGTACAATACAGAGATGCCTATACAATACACAGAGCTGAGTACAATACAAAGATACTCAATGGACATTCCTGACTTTCCTTATAAAAAGACACTAGGCATGTGCAAAACAGGACACATTTAAATCCTGCCCCATTTTTTGATATGCCTAGATGTTCACAAGTTAGCTTCTCCAAACAGCTACCAAGGAGAGGTAGGGGCCCTGCAGAACTGAAAGCTATTACAGAATTAAAGAGACACATTTTCCCCACATTTTTTG